CACTGCTTAAAGCCTAAAGGAATAAATATAAATTAAATCTTATACCCAAATTAAATTGCAAAACAGTATGTCACCTCAACTCCAAAACTACGATAAATTCTTCAATGGCGTTGTGGACAATGGATTTTACCTTTATGGATTTAAAAAAAAAATCGATCGGTAAAACCTTAACTGAAATGATGCTAATTAGTATTATCAAATTTAAATGTTTATATTATTTATTAATGATGTAATATATATGTTACCAGAAATGACAATTTATTCCTAATAGAGGAAGGAAATGATATCATCGCCTAGGAATTGTAATCATTTCGTACTTTATTAGTCAATGTTATCATGCATAGCTTTCTTACAYGAAAAAGCATTAGCTATTATGATGTTGACATGTTCCAGGTCACGTGGACCGACTTTACAATGTAACTATTAGAACGATAACTAACTCATAACGCTGACATGATGCTAAAAAAATGTATACTACCTACCACTACTAACTGTCAATATTGTCCGTGTTCTAAAAATTTAGGTGCTGAAAGTRSATTTTTAAAACATATGTCAGAGATATCATACACGAGATCAGAAATTAATCCTTGCAATGCAAATTTATTGGATCTAACTACTATTTTAGAATTATTACACAAATTAAAGTGATAAAAAAAAGGTTTGACAACAATGACAACACTTGATTTTTATTGATTAAGGTAATAAATAGGGTACCTAATTAATAATTATGTTTCATGAAAGTAATATTTAAATTAGACWGATCAAATTAAAATATCTAAATAAAGTGTATGGGATCCTTGCTTGATATCGTTAGGAAATGATAACATATAATAGGCAATATTATTTTCTTCCTCTATTATAAATTGCTAATATTTCCTGTTATCATTTCCTAAGTGTCAAAATTTCCGGTAACATATATAATAGGTATTACCTGTTGGTCCTGTTGCATCCCGTGGTGCCGTCCTGAGGTCTAGTCTCGGCCACTGTGCTAACCGGCCGGTGGTGCTGGTGCCGGCGGTGGCCGTGGCCGTGGCCCGARCACAGTAGCAACGTGCAGCCGTAGTATACGAATGTGTAGGTTGCTAGCCCGGCGGACGCCAGCAGCGAGTACACGACGTACTGGCACGCAAACCGGTCGCCGCCCACGAAACCGCCGCCCGCGAAGCTCGTGCCRAACAGCAGACACTTGCAGTCGCGTGCCTGCACACAGTCGGCGTCCAGTTCGTAGTACCAGTACGACCACACGGCCAAGAAACAACACGCCGCCGCGGTGGACACGACCAACGCTCCACCGCTCAGCGTCAATCGGACCAAAGTCCCGCCGCCGGCTTTCATGACGGCGGACTTTTATCTGGATGAAAATTTATGATTATCAGATTATGTTTTTATTTTTTTAAATTGATTAATTTTTTTATAATGAGATATTCCTATATTCGATATCTATACATAGATACAATATTAGAAATAGGTAGTCGTATATA